ATGAACTCTTAGAAAATTATATTGGCCCCTTTAATCTTTGGTTATACTTTCCTTTTGGGTGTTTAAGACCATACAGTTGGCCCAGATAGACCAATTTATTTTTACTCTTAAGGTTGTTTGAGCATCTGTTCCTCAGGGGTCACATGGGCTTGGGAGGAGCCCCTGGATCCTTTCTTTTACCAGTTCCATCTATGTGAAGATAAGTCAAAGGTCCTGCTTGACCATGGCTGGCTTTCTTGGGAGCATGGAGGAAATGATTCCTCTGTGTTGACCCTCCTCTTTGTAGACTGGACACTGGTTCAAGTCCATCTCATGGGGTCTCCTTGGCCTTCTTGATCAAGAGGACAGGTGATCCACCACAATTACAGGACATTTTGAGAGATGCTAATAGTCCCCTGAAACTAGTCAACCTAGAAGGGCAAGGAGCAAAAACTGTCCTTTATATTTCTGTTTTAGTTTGCTCCTTCATTGCTGTGAAAAAATACTCTGACCAATACCAACCCGTTGGGGAGGAAAGGGTTTATTCAGCTTACATCTCCCAGGTCGCAGTTCATCAGGGAGCCCAAGGTAGGAACTCAGGGCAGGAATCTGGAGGCAAGAGCTGGAGCACAGGCCATGGAGGAACTCTGTTTACTGGCTTGCTCCCCTGGTCCCTGCTCAGCCTGCTTTTCAGGCCCACCTGCCCAGGGGTGGCATCACCCACAGTGGGCTGGGCCCTCCCACATCACTCATCAAGAAGATGCCCCTCAGACATGGCCACAGGCCAGTCCAATAGAGGCAATTCCCCAACTGAGGCTCCCTCAACCCAGGTGTGTCAAGTTGACACTAAAGCTATTCAGCACAGTCCCTCTGACCAGATTAGTATGGGCCTCAAATTATGTCTGTTAAACATCCAAGAAGGTTAGTTCCACCAGTCTGGTTCTTTTAATTACTGTGTGTCATGTAGATAAATCTTGGGCAAAGACCAATTGTTCTCAGATAAACCTTACCTAAACATAATGTTTCTTGTTCTGGTATGTATAATTTGTCAGTAGGTTGTTGGAGTAATATGGTTCTGTCTGGTTTTTAAAACTAGCTAGGCATTATTTCTCTCTTGCATTGTCTCACCCTTCCATCATGGTTTCCCCAGTTAAGGTGCCCCCATTTCCCTCCTTTCTCCCTTACTAATACCCTTCTCCTATGGTCCTACCTCTCTTGAGCTCCTTCTTTCCCTTTATCCCCTAGGTTCCTTGTA